ATTTTTATTGTTTCCCATCTTGCGTTTATGGACTTGATTTATATTTAGTTTATTTTGTGTATGATATAAGTTGGTGGTCTAGTTTCATTTTTTTTGCATGTATCTTTACAATTTTCCCAAAACCATTTATTGAAGAAGAGACTGTCTTGATTTCATTATATTCTGTTGCCTCCTTTGACAAATATTGAGCATAAAGGTTTGGATCGATTTCAGGATTCTCTGTTCTCTTGAATTGTTCTGTATGTCTGTTGTTGTGTCAGTACTAGGCATTTTTGCACTATAGCTTGGTATCTGGTATTGTCATCCCTCCAACTTGGTTCTTTCTCAAGATTGCTCTGGCTATTTATTACCATTATTCTATATTTATTTTGCGAGAGCTTATTATAGGTCTGTGAAATATGCAGTTGGTATCTTAATGGGGATTACATTGAATCTGCAGATTGCTTTGGGTAGTATGGACATTTTAATGATGTTGATTCTCCCAATCAATGAACACGGTATAGTTTCCATTTGTCTATATCTCCTTCTATCTCTTTTTTTCAACTTCCTGTAGTTTTCGGAGTGCAGGTCTTTTACGTTGTTAGTTACGTTTATTCTTACATATCCGAATTTTTTTGTTGCAATGGTAGATAGGATTGTTTGTTTGTTTGTTTGTTTGTTTTTCTTTGAGTTCATCATTGGTATATAAAAAAGTCATAAATTTCTGGTTGTTAATTTTGTATCCTGCCACATTTCTGAATGCATTTATTAAATTTAGTAGTTTTTTGATCGTGTCTTTAGGGTTTTCTATGTACAATATCATGTCATCTTTGAATAATGACGGTTTTCTTCTTTTCCAATTATGATGCCTTTAATTTCTGCTTCTTGTCTGATTGTTATGGCTAGCACTTCCAGTTTTATATTAAACGGGAGTGGTGAAAGTGGGCATCCCTATCTTGTTCCTGTTCTTAGGGAAAATGGTTACAGTTTTTGCTGAATGAGTATGATGTTGGCTGTGGGTTTGTCATAAGGCTCTTATTATGTTGAGGTGTGATCCTTGAGCTCCCACTTTGCTGAGAGTTTTATGAAGAAAGGGTCTCAGATTATGTCAAATGCTTTTTTCTGCATCAATCGATATTATATAATTTTTGACTTTAATTTTGTTTATATGTTGTATCATATTCATTGATTTGCAGATATTGTACCAATCTTTCATCCCTGGAATAAATCCCACTTGGTCATGGTGTATGATCTTTCTAATGTATTGCTGTATCCGATTTGCCAGAATTTTCTTGAGGATTTTAGCATTGATGGGTGTCACTACGACTACAGTGGGAGAGCTGCTGTGCAGGAGAAACCCTATGGAGCATGACCTGCATCAGTGGGACTTTGGTGGTCAGTGAGTCTATCGTTTATGGATGTAAAGAGTAAGCTCGTATGGTATGACACTGACCACTCGGTATACTGGCTCTTGGGTCTCCAGGGAGGTGTAATGTCAGCCTCTCCTGGAGCCACCCAGCAGCATCTACAGAGAGATCTGCAGAATCTTCTCTTTGTTTCGAGTTTGGAAGTGCCCTGATGATGCCCAGCTGTGAAGCAAGTAAGGCTAGTGCTTGTGCCAGGTATAGGCCTTTTATTGATAGGTTTGGGGCTCCCTGACCAAACTGCAACTTGTTTGACAGGTTTTAGCCTGAGCAAGGACAGGCGATTCATATACAAATGCTGCTGCACACAGCTTGGGTGGAGTTGTAAATTGGATGGGGTGAGGTCTCAGGGAATCACCAGGTGGGAGCACACAGAAATGGTTATCAGTAAGACCTGCCACCTCGGATGTGGCAGCATAGGTATAATGACTACAGCAAGCACCTCTGCCTGGAGAAAGCTATCCCCGAATTCCTGCCCCGATGCCAGTTAGTCCAGTTTCCTCTCATATGTGTCTTGATCCACCCCTCCACCACCATGTTCGCCAGGCCCTGAAGATCAGAAGAAGCGGGAGGTTGTAAGTTCAGTTTGTGGTACTGGCATTGTAAGAGGAGCAGCTGGGTCTCCTGCTGCCTCTGTGTCACTGAGCCCCAGTCCGCACTGGTTTTTACAGCCCATAGTTCTTACTGCCAGTAGGGCCTTTTTTCCCCAGTCTGGAACCCTGTGCTGGGTGTC